TAAAATTCTTGGGTTGCCCAGAACAAAATTGAAACGTTAATCATGTTATATTCCATCCCCACCCTCTCTTACTGCCAGGAATTGATCAAAACCCAGTGAGAGGACCAGGAATGTAGCTCAGTGGCACCACGCCTGCCTTGCAAGTGCAAGGTCCTGAGTTCAACCCCCCAGTACCAAAAGCCCAGTGAGAGCAGCGGCCACAGCAGAGAGGTGTGCAGTCCCCTGCTGTAGCATTTTCCCCAGACTCACCTTGGGGCAGGGTTTTAAGTATGACTCATTCTACTAAGTGTTGAGCAGTGTGAACTGGTGACAGACAGATGGAATTTCACTGAGATGAGTTTATTGGAACATATAACTGCTGCTTTTAGAAAGTTGAAGGAATAGTTGCTACTGTAGCCCTATTCATGCCACTGAAACACTATTCTGTTTTCACCCCTATCTAACTTTGTTCCCCTCCTGTTCCATGATATTTTTACAACTCAGGCATCTCTTGTTAATTTTTTAAAAGACTTTTTTAAATGTGCCTGTTACTGGGCTGGGGATTTAGCTCAGTGGTTTCACCGCCTGCTGTGCAAGCACAAGGACCCAAGTTCGATTCCCGGTACCCACCCCCCAAAATGTGTCTGTTATTAATTTTGCAACTTTCATATAAAAATTTTGGGGTGTAAATATTCCCACTTAATGTAGTAGTTAATTATGTTCAGTAGTTTGTAGAGAATGAATTCAAGAACTTAAGATTAAAAACAACAACAACAACAACACAGGGCTGTTTGTAGCCAGGCTTCATGGATGGCAAAGCAGACCAGGATTCAGAGCAGGATTGGGCCTTTAGTGGGCAATGTTCTAGTGACTGAACATGGAGAAGAAAGGAACTCATTCCTTCTCTTATCCCTATGTTTAAATGAAAGAAATCTATACTTTTGCCTGGGCTTATGTTAACTTTCAACTAGAGCAAAGACAAATGGAGCCCCTAAAGTAAAAAATCTAAATATCTCATACTAAAATTTGACCTTACTAATTGAGATTGTGTAATTATATAGATGTGAAATTTTTGCTTTCTGCCATCAGTTATAAGTATTTGCTAAGCTGTTAATATAAAATGGGCAAAATCTTTTTAAAAATTTGTTTAATGTTCATCTTTACATATTTTTGATTAAAAAGAGTAACACCTTTGTCAGTATACTTTTTAAAAAGTTAAATCTCTGACTCTCATACAAATGCTGAATGAAGATGTGTCAAAGATTTATTCAATTCGTTAGTGACAGAACCAGCAGGGTGGTAAAGCTGCCTTGAAGACGAACTAAAGGAATGGGTCATACAGTCATTCAAGAAAGAGTGTGGGGTTGAGATTGCTGGATAGATAAAACACTAGTGCTGCAACCGGATTATAACACCGGGAAGAAATCAACTGCATCTCTTCTGGATGCAGTTAACATTAACTTGCAGAGTCTGGGGCCTTTAATCAGCAGTAAAGGGCTGGTCAAACACCCTCTCTGTTCCCCCTGGATAATGAAATAATCCTGCTAAGCTGTTGAAGAAATGCTCCAGAATGACTTTGAAAAAACATACTTTCCTCCTTTGATCTTGTTACTGAGTTTTGGATTATTTTTCTGAACATCTTACTGTTAAATAAGGTGAGTGTCTGTTGATAGGAGGTACCTAGAGCAATCAAAATCATAGACAGAAGATAGAATGGAGAATTGCTAGGAGCTAGATGAATTAATCCACTGAGCAGTCCCCTTGAAAATAATTAGGTTGGTAAATTTTTTATATGTTATCACGACTGAAAAGAAAATTAAGAATGAGCTGACACATAGGTTTATGAAAAATTAGTAATTCATCATCCTCCTGAAAGAACTTAATAACCCTCTGTGTGAACTCACTTTTCCTTGTTTATAAAGATGTAAGTAGAGTTTTCTAAAAATAGGATTCTTAGAATTCTTTACTGTCTGACATTTGTTCTTTTCACTTAATGATACATCACAGCCTGCATGCTGGTTTTGTCTGTTGATCTTATCCAGTCTTTTGAATGCCGGCTTCACCGACTACATATATCATAATTTATTCAGCTCTTACTCCATGGATGGAAATTCAGTTTGTTCGCAGACTTCTGGTGGGGTTTTTTTCAATTTTGTTTTTTGTTGTTGTTGTTTTGCCATTACAAACATGATTAAAACAAAATCGTTTCAATGCTGGAGAGTGATGCTGAAGGCCAGGATCTCGGGTGACAGCCATAAAACAGCAGAGAGGGGAATGGCTCTGAGAATCATTTCGTTGGGGAACCAGATTGGATTTAGTAGCCAGTTGAAAATGTTGGTGTCAGAGTGGAGAAGTGGCTGCTGCTACTAATTTATTGAGAGAGAACAGAAAAACAACAGAGGCTTTGAAGGGAGGGTAGCAGGCTGAGCGGTTAGATCCTCTTTGGAAAATGCTCAGTTTGAGGTCAGTGTCTGTCTATAAAATCACAGACAGAGATCACTGATTTGAGAATCCACTGCCCAGAGCCTTATTGAAGCTATGAGAGTGGCTGAGATCTGGCTCTGAGGGAAAGAGGTGGCATCTGCAGGAGTTACCTGCATTTAGAGCCCTGAGACTGAGCCCCTTTTGCTGGAATACAAAAGAAGAAAGAGCCTGAAATTACGTCCCGGCCACTCCAGGCCTAGGAAATGTAATAATACGAAGTGTACCCTAGGTGTCGGCTACCTGGGCTTTCTCTCCACTGCCTGTTGAGGACTCCTGCCTCTTAAACACTGGTTTCCCTGTTGTCTAAACCACCAGAAATAATGGTACAGTTTGGTAAACCAGCTTGGGCCACCACTGCTTTGAATTTAGGGGAAAGGCAAATCAGATCTCAGTGGGGCACAGTTTGGCATCTCAGCAGTATTACAGAGTCATTTTTAAACCTACGCTAGGTTCATAAAAACTAGGATTTAATAAGGAGAGGAGATGTCAATTGCACAAAGCCGTGTGAGCCAGAGAATGTTGCTAGAGACGCCCCGAGGAAGCAGTAGACACAGAGAATTTCTAAGACATTCAGTTTTTGCTTTAAACCTCTCATTGCTGAGCTCTACTAGCATAAGGATTATCCTCTTGCCACCAGATATTTCTGTAAAGGGTCTGTGAATTTTTATATCAAGCTTGGGTGTTGGAGGCAAGGGTAAACGGAGTGACTAGTGATCCAGACGCATTCTTTTGTCACTTCTCAGGGTTTTGAGAAATACCTATGTTTCTATGAGTAACTGAGTCATCAGAATGGCTGGTGTCACAGAGGTGTGAAATCAGTGGGAACCTGCCAAGCTTAAGGCAGAATTCAGTTTTAAAAACTGTGTGTGCTGCATTAGATTAGATAATTATGGTTGGAAGTTCCTGAAGAAAAGAATCCAAGAGAGTAAAGATGACAACTCTTACCCATAAAGTACCTTATCACTTGGAAAAAAAAAAAATAACATATGTACCTAGAAAAATACTGAAGGAAACTAATGCATTCTGTGGCTGCCCACCCCCCAGGACTGTTTCCTGTTGCTGAAAGAATCGAGGTGAGACTGATGCTAGTCCCTCCTCGGGCTCCCCACACGACCCACTTGGTAAGGAAGAAGCAGGTGTGAGAACCGTAAGGGCAGGAGGAGATGCTGGCAGGTGACAGGAGGCAGCAGGTGGCAACAGGCTGTTTTCCAGAGAATAGGATCACAGTAGTATTTATAGGGTGGTCAGTTTCAGGCCTGATGGACTCCCGCCATAATCTCGAGTTAGTTCATTATAAATTGGAAAGAAGAACGTCATATCTGCGGAGTGTTAATCTGAACAAAGACCAATGAGTCCAAGTGGAAAGCTCATTTGTGGCTGCTTTGTCACCTTGAATATCTTTAGTAGCTTGCAGTTCACAGAGTGCTGAGGCAAGGGGAGTCCTTCCATCAGAATCCTGCTGTGCTCAGCACTAGTTCATCACATGCATCAGTGAGTCATGGGAACTGATCAGAGGAACCCTGGAAGTGTCACAGAGCCTTCAGAGAGAAATTCTGTGATTGAACTCTCTGTCTCCCCACCCCAACTGAATGTTTTTCCTACACCGCTGCAGGAATAAACAAGAACATTACTGGATTCTTTGCCCCAGGCCTTTAATTTTAGAAGAGTCACCTAACCTTGGGAATAGGGAAGTTCAGGTTGGAGGTTCCCCGGCTTCCTCTGTCATTTCTCTGTCATTTGGCAGTGGAAAATCTTAGCTATCACAGGGTCCCTGTAGGCTTTATTTGTGGACAAGTTGTCCTGACCTTTTTGGGTCTTGTCTGGACACACAGAGCAGGCCCAAGACCTGCCTTTTTGTGCCATCTCCCACTGCCATAACTGCACGATGTGGAAAGAGATACCAAAATCCAGACACAACAAAGCATCCTCTTTTGCATGTACTGAGGTTGTAAATGAGTCTTATCTTAGACATGACCCTTTTCCTTCCTCTTTTGCCTATCCCTTTTTCCTGTATGTATAATTTATAAATAATTAGCATATCTTATTTACTGTACAAAGAGAAAAATTGCTGTGTGTTTTTCCTAGCTATGGAAAAATATTTCTAGAGGGTGAAAAAATAGCTTTTGGAAATTTCAGCTACTGCTTTTGGAATAGTGGGAATTTGTTACTCAACTCAGTAACAATCTTGGCCCAAACCAAGCAGCTGTGTGGGCAGACAGTGGGCACCTTTCCTAATGGGTCTTCCATGGACACCTTTGCTCACATCTGAGCCAGCCTGAACTCAGCATACCTTTCCATAAGACAGAAGCCATTGAGACCCAGCCAGGGGATTTTACTAGTATGAGATATTGCATAGCTCCCAAGGGGAGGGAGGAGAGAGAGAAAGCGGAGCCCAACAATAAATAGCTCTTTGTACCAGTCCCCACCCCTAGCCCCAAACCATTGAGATCATAGTGAGCAGCCCATATTCAGTGGAAGGCAGCTGCTGCCCAGTAGCTTGGCAGATAATGACCAGATGTAAACTTGTCTTTCCGCAGTGTGTGGCTGTGACCTGGCCCAGGGGGGCTTCTTCATAAAGAACGGAGAATACCTCTGCACCCTGGACTACCAGCGGATGTACGGGACACGCTGCCATGGCTGTGGGGAGTTCGTGGAGGGCGAGGTGGTGACTGCCCTGGGCAAGACGTACCACCCCAACTGCTTTGCTTGTACGATCTGCAAGTAAGTGACCGTCTTCCCCAAGCCTATAGCTTCCTTCAACAGGGAAACACTGGCTTCAGCAGTGAAAACTTGGTCTCGAGTAGTACTTATTCTTAAAATATCCCTTTTCTGTTTTGCCCCTTCCTGCTGAATTTTCAGTCCTAGCCCAAATGTAGGTTAGTTAGGAAACTGTATACATGATGTCCTGTACGGAGGGACATGACTGACCCTAAGGGACTTAAAACCAAGTCTGCAGGCAGCTCAGGGCCTCAGAACATTTTGAGTAATGAAGTCATTGGTGGAGGATTGGACACCTGCTTGAAAGACAAAGCTTATTTGGAAGTGTAAGTGCTTATGTATGTGGCATGTGGATTGAAAATCATCTCTTTTTTCTGTATCATAGGAGTTGGCAAATGGTGGCCCACAGATCAAAGTAGGCCCAATCCTTGTTTCTGTGATAAAGTTTTACTGGCATGCAGCATCCCCGTTTGTTTGAATGCTATCGAGGGCTGCTATGGGAGCGCTATAGTGGCAGAGTTGAGAAGTGGTGATGGGGTCCTTATCATTCACGAAGCCTGAGAAGATATTTGTAATTTGGTCTTTTAGGGGAAAATTTGCCAAACCCTGCTATTTAGGAGTCTGTCATCTGCCAAGGTTGAATCTTAGCTGCATAAATGAGCTTGATTAAAATGATCAGTCTAAGAGAAGAAAACTATGTGAAGTGTAAGTGGGAAACTGTGGTATTGTGTCTGGGTGCTACACATTATAAGACTGAGATGGACTTGATGCCTCTAACTGGAGATTGGCCCACAAGGATCAGCTCCGTAGCTGGTCAGTTTCAGTCACAGTCTCGTGCCCTGTGCGCTGGGGCTCCATCCTCCTATGCCTGAGTGCAGAACTACCCTTCAGAAGGAGATGTTTTGTTTTGCAGTGTTTCGTGTTTCTAAGCCAGATAGATGCAAATGCTGGAAGGGTAGATTTAATTTTGGACAGTTAGTAGTAACATTGATAGATAAGTCAGAAGTCAGATGCAATATTCTTAATAAAATTACTTTTTTTATTAGTACATGTTTGCAGTACATAATGTCTAAATTCCTGTGTGCAGCCGGTGCATGTACATAACACATCTTCATTCTTTTATTCATTCCCCCTTCCTTCCCTTCCTCCACTCTCCTTTTATGTCTTGATCCCCTACTCCTTTGTGAAAGATCTTATCTTCCTACTTCCTATTATCTACCTTTTATTTTGCTCTTATTTATACTGTGGGTTTCTCTTATAAGAGAAACTATGCAATATTTAAGCTTTTCTGTCTGATTTATTTCACTTAACATTATGGACTCAAAGTGCACCCATTTTCTTACAAATGACTCAAGCTTATCTTTCTTTGTGACAGAGTAGTACTCTGTTGTTTTTAATAAGGATTAGCTCATTTCTGAATCACTGTTTTTAAAATCATAATTTAAAAATTCGAGACTCACAAGCAGAATATTTTTCTTGTTTAGTCAAAGTAAAGATCCACCCTAGCTTCTCCCTTTTCAGGGTGTGACATGTAGCTGCCTTGAAGACCCAAATCTGGCCCCACTTCCTGGGCTGAGTTGAAGCTTTTGTGAATGAGCTTTTCCAAGCCAGAAGCCTCTGCTGTTAAAAAAAAAAAAAAAAGGAGGAGGGGGTGCTATGGACTAAGTAGGAGTGATCCCCAAGTCCGGCTGCTCGCTGGAACCTCCTGGGTCTGGTGAGCTTGCAGTCCCTTTAAAAATATCCAAAGCCCATCCCAATCTGCTAGTTTCTGGAGGGTTCCCAACTATGATGTTGTGCAGCCCAGTTAGAAGACCCTGGTCCAGGTAGACTCTGAGAGCCATCTGTTCCCGAGCCCAAGAGATTGTTGTTTTAAAGTCAGAGTAACGATGGGCAAATGTAGTAACTAGAGCCTACCTCTGGACGTTTGAGCCAGCAGAGGTGCTCAGGATTGCTACAGATTGAGTATCAGTTATTTGAAATGCTTGAGAGCAGAAGTGTCTTAGATTTCATATTTTTCCAGGTTTGGGGGATATTTGCATATACACAATGAGGTATCCTGGGGAGAGGACCCAAGTCTAAATACGAAATTAATTTTCTCATATACAGTATATCTTATAGACTGAAGGTAATGTTATATAGTATTTTTAGTGCACCTGCATTTTGCCTGTGACCCATCACATGAGGTCAGGTGTGGAATTTTCCACAAGAGCAGTACATTAGCATTCAAAACATTTCAGAATTTGGAGTATTTTGGATGTTTGGATAAAGATTGCTCAGCCTGTACTACACAGTGGCAGCTACTGCTTCCAAATGATGATAACTGGATCTGAATTGGGGCCTTCTTTATGGTTTACTAATTGCATTCACATAGAATTTAATTTAGCCCTCTTAGCAATTCTGTGAAGTCAGTCTGGAATTAATAACCCTATTCATGAGAGTCTCAGAGTATAAGACTCATGCAGGTTAACCTTGGAAGGCTGAGATTTGAACTCAGGTTTTCTGACTCTAAATTCAGTTTTTGTATCACAAAATTCATGCATAGAGAAAGCAGACCTGTGTGGGCAGAGGACATAAGGCAGAAGGGAAAATCTGAGAAGTGTCATTATAAAGCAACAAAACTCCAGGTTCAGAAGGCCCGGCCCCATGTTGAGCACTGGACTCTGGCCTATGCCATGGGGGGCTTCGTGTAGGATTCGGGTCTAAGCATGGATCAGAAGCAGGTCCTGAATTCAGGTGAGGTAAGCAAGGCAGCTGGGATGCAGCGTGTAAGGGGGTGCTCATTGTCATGTCATGCAGGTGCCAGTCCGCTCTGCAGAGTGAGTGCAGGTATGAGTGGTACCCACATGCCCCACTGGCCTCACCCAGGCCTTGGGCTGGTCAGGGGCAAAACAGCCCGTGCTTGCTGTGAAGGGCTCTAAACTCTCACACCCTCCTTACAGAATGGCTCAGAGGGTTGCTGAGGTTTAACTAATGATCATGAAAATGACTGGACCACTGCCATCACCAGAAAGTGGTTGACGTTGATTATTAAAGACAGGGCAGGTTCTGAGTTGGAAAACGCCATCTGTACCTGCTTGGGGCTTAGTCTCTTTACTGCTCTGTCCAGGAAAATCACTTACCCTCTCTGAGTCTTACCTAGAACACCACTTCTCCTTAGAACTTCTAATATTTGGAGGTACAGTGGTACCTCCATTCATGAACTTAATTCTTTCTGTGATTCTGGTCCCAAACTGAATTGAACAAGAACCGAATCAGATAATTCAGTGATGTCTGACTTGTGCATTTCACATTTCCTAACTGACTGCATCAGACACTTGAAAACTCACGTTGATGAAGATTAATGGCAAAGGGGCCAGTTGCAGGTCAGTGGGCATGGAAACTGCCACATCTGTTAATGAATGACTTTGGTTTCTGTTTTGTTTTTTTGTTTTGTTTTGTTTTTTGGTACTGGGGATCGAACTCGGGACCTTGCGCTTGCATGGCAGGCACTGGAACCACTGAGCTAAATCCCCAGCTCATGACTGGTTTCTAAAGGCTGTCTGCCTGGTGACCTGAGAGGAGAACCTGTTAACATACATGCAGGCTGTAATATTTTTGTAAAATGTGCTGCTGTTGATAAATTTCCAGGGTCACAAGAAATTACCTTTCTGAAAAGAAGCTGCTACTAATTCTTAAGCAGATGTTTTTATCGCCTGTGCCATTCTTTTGAGCCTGTAAGGGACGTGTTCTCCAACTCTGTGCCGCATTCACATGACCAGAAAGGACAAAGTCTAGCTTGGAACAGTTATCGCAGGACTCTGGGCATGGTCCCAGGGAGCTGGAAAGGCTCATGCCTGGCCAGTAACCAGTGGGGCGCGGCCCTAAGCTTCAGTCGGAATTCATGGAATTTAAAACGTTTCTTTATGAAGATTTTCCATTTGGAAATGTACTGTTCTGCCTGCCCTGATAGGTGACTTGTTGGGACATCCCTGCACTAGTAAGTGGATGTAAATCATTCCATTTTACTGTCAGGTTGCTATAGAACCAGTGCATTCTTTTTCTTATAATGAGGCATGTTTGTTTGTCTGGACCAGAGCCAGCTGGGCATGGCTGCATTTCAGACATCTTAGTGGGTGCTCCTCCAAGAAATAAATTTGCACCAGAGGGCAGCAAGCAGGAGTAAAGAGAAGGAGTGAAACTGCTGGAATAACCTGGAGGGGGTGTCTTTCTGTCTCAGGCGCCCATTTCCACCCGGAGACCGAGTCACGTTCAATGGAAGAGACTGCCTCTGTCAGCTCTGTGCCCAGCCGATGTCTTCCAGCCCTAAAGAAGCCACCTGCTCCAGCAGTAAGTGCCCTATGATGCACCGACATGAGTGCTTTTGTAGTTCACAGGTAGCTCCCTCTGGGAGATCTCTGCCTTTTTGAGAAACCCTGTTAGCTAGAACCAAGATGGGTCCTATCTAGGGCGTGTTCCTTTGCAAAATGTGATGGCTGGTAAATCCCATGCAAGGAGAACCCATTGTGTCACAGAGACAGAGTTGGATATCATACTGTCCATCTTGACAGGGACAGAAAAATAACTGTAAGACTTTACATTAGAAATGACCTTCTGTAGTCATGGAGGTTGAGATATAAGAATGCTTGGTGAGCATGTGATTGGTAGTTTTCTGTGTTAAAATAGCTGTCTCTGCTTCCCCAAGGTGCAAGGTCGGTGATTTCTGCTAAGGCTTCAATAAATGCTTTGTTTAAATAATTCACCTGGAGGGAGTCTGGCATTTATTCACTTAACAATTTGCCGAGTACCTACAGTGTGTATTGTTTTTAGAAGTGGAGACAGACCCATGAGCAAATAAACCTCTTCCACCCTCAAGAAGCTTGCTTTCTAGTGAGAGCACACGGACAGATGCACACACAGAAATATCTAGTATGTGAAGAAAATTAAAGCAGGAGAAGGACCACATTTATGTGAGGCAATCGGAGGTCTCTGTCGGATGGTGACTCCTAAGGAGAGATTTGAAAACGTGGGGGCGATTTAGGCATACGTCAAGGATTTGCTGTCATTTAGGCCTTGGTGTCATGGGAACTGTGGGGACCCGAAGAGAACCAAGTCTCCTCCCCTCTCACCCCAAATCGTGGCCAGTTGCACTCTCCTTCTAATAAAGACATTGGAAATAACATCTTTTTTTTTTCTTTTTGGTACTGGGGATCAAACTCGGGTCCTTACACTTGCGCAGCAGGGGGCAAAACCACTGAGCTACATCCCCAGCCCCGGAAATAACATCTTGTAGATCATTTGCTAAGTTTTATAAGTCAGTGTATTCTGAACTCTGGGCACTAGGTTGGGAAGTTTGGCTTCATCTCTTTCCTTTAGGAGTTGGACCCAAGGTTGACCTTGGTTTCCGTGGAGTTTGCTTGTCCTTGGGAGCCCAGGAATAAATCCCTTTAGGTTCCGTGAGGCTTAATATATAAGAATGAGGTAACCCATTTCTGTTCCAGGAGAATTCTGCGCAATTGTAACAATGATTCCAAATCTTCCCATTAAAGTAGAACCCTTATACTTGTTAAAAATAAGAATGTTATGACCAAAGTATTTGCATAGAAAGTGGATTTGGATTTATATGACCTACTGATAAGTGACAGCAGCCTGAGTAGGACAACCACTGTGATCCTCGGCCCCTAGTCCTTTATAGTGTTTATCACCCCTCAAGCACAAGAGAAACAATTAGCCCCAGGTTGCTGGAAGGTGACTTGGGATAAGAATAGTCATCCCATTGTTTGGGAGGGCTCACTGTGAAAAAGTACATTGGCAAAATATTTGGAAGATTCTTCAGTCTAGTTAAGAAAAATAGGGTTTCCTGAGCCCTAGGATAAGATGACAACTGTGGCAGAGGCTCATGTCCATAAGACCTATAATAGGAATGACAGTGTCCCCAAATAGTTTGAAGGCCCTTAGTCCAGCTATCTGTGTTGCTAGGTGGACAGTGAGGCCCATGACTGTACTCAGGGTCATGTTATCCAATGATGACATAGACTCAGGTGCAGGTCTTTTGATCCCTGGCTTTTTGCTACTTTGTTTCATCTCCTCGTTGTTTGGCGTAGGAAACAGAAGCAAGTCATCTTAAAGGCTTCAAGAGCTCTCTGGCCACACAGTTGGGGAACTGTGTTTCCTTGTCATACCGCCACCAAAATGATTGTTCTAATAGTTATTTAAAATTTTTTAAGCCAACCACAGTAGTGCATGCCTGTAATCCCAGCACTTGGGAAGCAGAGATAGGAGGATTACCACAATTTCCAGGCCATGGTGGGCTACATAGTGAGCTCAAGGCCAGCCTGAACTGCATAGTGAGACCTTGTCCAAAAAACTAAAAAAAAAAAAATTGGCCTCATCTATATTTTCTATGTTTATACAACATACATATACACATAAAAAATGAACACTGTAAGTGAAAAATTTAATCAAATTTAAGTCCATTGCATTTTAATAAATTTAACAATTACTGCTTATGTGCAAGTTGTTAGGCCAAATCATATTTTCTCTTTGCTTCCAATAGATGAGAGCTCATTTCTATGCAACTGATTTGGTCAGAACATTTTATTTTTAAGAAGTGTTTATCTATTTAGACAAGTTTTCAAAGCCATTTATAGGGTGTGTGGGTGTCTATGAAAAAGGGCGCATATGCAAAATACCCAAACTAGACAGGGACACAAATACTAGAGCAATAGGAATTTTCAGCAAGGTGCTGAAATTTCATTGGAACATAATTAGAAAACATTTGGTTGTTATTTGTAGTTCTCCAAGAATTGCCCAATACTTCAAAACTACCCTGGTATGTCTTCAGTTCTGGTTGTTTGTTTTGTTTTTGTTTTTAACTTTCTCAGCTTGGCAAGAGGCTTCCTAAATAGAAGCAGAAAATGACCTTTTTTATGAGTGTATGTGAAATTTCTCCTTAATAATGTTCACAGAGTCCTAGAAATATATCCGAGTCCAAAGTCCTATTTTCCCTTTAAAATACTTTCTTCAGAAATGAGTTTGCTCTTCTGAACCATAACTTTATCTCATATTCTGTGGCTAGTTTCTGAATGAGAGGTCACTGAATAGGAGGTGAAGACCACATGAAAGGGAGAGAAGCAGGGGCGAAACGAGTGGAAACAGAAGCTAAGTCCAGGATATGATGAAAGTACGCACAAAATACTTTCCTTTTGAGCTGACCAAATGAAGGTGTAGTGTTCTGCTTCCCCTGCTCGGTGGCTACTGTGTCTGCATTGCCCTAATGCAGGAGACCTCTGCTCCACACCTCCTCCTTCCCTACCAAAGTTTTTCTGATCTGTACCTCTATTTTCTTCATGAACGTGCACATGGTACTCAATGTTGTACCAGGCTCTCTTCACGTTAGTAACTGGTTTACCTTGGGCATATTTTAAATTCCCATAACAACCCTGTAGGTTGGTATTAAGACTGTTCCCTTTTCAGATGAAGAAACATAGAGATGAAGTAATTTGCTCAGGGTCACACAGGCCCACACACAGGGGCTCCAGAGGCCGTGGCCCTCTCCCGACATAGTTATTTTACCACGTGTGCTGCACCTTGCAGCAGTGACCTGTCTTGTCTGCAGATGACCTGAGAGTCCTTATTCAAGACCGTGCTTCTGGTATATGCCACCGTTGCCTCCCTGTTATATCAGAGTTTGTTGAATGGAAACCCTCAGCAAGTTATTCCTAGAAGCACTACTTCAATAAAAGATCACTGCCCCCAAATTAGTTAAAATGATTGTTGCATCCAGTCCAATGCAGTTTCAGTTCAGTGAGTGATCAACATAACCTCAAATGGAGATCGTAGCAGGCCGTGCCTCCTAGAGTTATAACGAACATTAGCTTATGCTTTACGAGCTGATTCACGCTTTTTAAAAATATCATAGACAAGACATCATTCTCTTCCGTTGTTCTCGGTACAAGTCTCCAAAGTGTAATTCCACCCCATTCTTCATGTATTTACCAGGACCTGAGGGACTGGATTCCCATGGGCTATGGAGTGGTGCGGGGGGGGGGGGGGGGGGTGTGCGCACGCGCGCAACCTCGTGCGTAGGGACTTGGGTTCAGATTGTGGTTTTCTCCACAGCTCCCGTCTATTTCGGGCACCTGAGCAGGAGTGGGCTGCTGTCTACCGTCATCCTTCCCATTTCAAAGGGTGTCTGACTAGTGTCTGATTGCGTGTGGGTTCAGCACATTGGCATGATGCGCACCCCCACACACATACCCAAACCTGTCTCTCTCTCCCTCCTCTATGCAGACCTCTATATATAGCATCGTCATTATTTTCACTCCCATTGGAACTCCCACAGGTATCAGGGCAAATGCTGTAGTGGGACTGAATTTAAATCATTCCAGATAAAGAGTCATGTGCATATTTTCAAAGGGGAGGAAGACATTTTCAATTATTTTACTTTTCTGTTTGGTGCCATAGCTTTTCATTGTCGCAAGATCATTTTCATTTATCTCCATGTTCTCTCTCAAAACATCATTTGCAAGTTGAGTGGGAATTGTCTGCCGAGGCACCTAACGGTGGAATGGTAAAGCTCATACCTGGGCCAGATCCTGGCTCTTCCACTTCCTGTCACTGTCTACCTCTCCGTCTTCCGTTGTCTCATCTGTTAAATAAGATAGTAGTAATAAGTACCTACCTTGTAGGATTGGATTACATGAGTAAATATATCAAAGTGCTGGTTACTTATAATTTCTAACGATACTGTCACTATTCAGGCATTGATTTCTGGGTTTTTGTGGAGGACAGCCCCCATTTCTTGTGGAACTTCCATTTTCATCTGCTGTTCATGACAGCTACATTTGTCCACTCATCTGATATTTTCTACCAGTATAAAAACCAAGAAAGGCCAGAACACAGCCCCACATATAGCCCATAGTTTATTGCAGTTTGACCCATGGCAATGTATTTTATGGCTGGATCCCAAAAAATGTCTGCCCCGCCTGCATTAGACGCATTCTTGCTGTAGGGCAAAATAGCAGAGGGGCTTGGCAGGGCCTGCTGAAGAATGTGGGTTCTCAGAGGTTACTGGCTGGTTCTCATCCCTGCTCTTCCACTTTCAGGGTGTGTGGCCTGGAGAACCCAGTCTGTCTACATCCCCATTTCCTTGCCTATAAAATGGGAAACAGTGATCATTTCTTTGTCATTGAGTTGTTGTGGAGAGCAGTGTAAGTGAAGTGCTTCAAAGATCCAGACCGTGAGCACATAGAAGTTTGAGCCATAACTCTTTAAAGCAGTTGTGGGACTAGAACCAGATATATTCAGAATCAGAAAGGAAAGACAGACATGGACACAGCATAGTGGAT